CCCAGCCACTCCACTGAATAAAGATAAGGCTATCTGCACCTGTAAAGATTTGTAGCCTTGGAGACCCTATGCAGGGTCTCCATGAGCCAGAATTTTGAAAAATGCAGGCATACTGCAGGGTCGGCAGTTCAAACTCACCAGAATTTCCTAAGAGATCCTACACTGGGTGGCTGTTGAAATCTGCCTCAAGGACACATACCAATAATAACCACCCTGTTTAAAAGAACTCTGGCCTGGTGTATCTGAGGCTTCAATCACAACCCGAATTGATCATTTTTTTATCTTTCCGTGTGACTCTGTGTGGTGTGTGGTGGTGGTTGTTTTTAAGTGCCATCGAGTTGGCTGCAACTTAGAGTGTCCTTGTATAAGGTTTATGAGGAGCAGCTGGTGAACTTGAATTGCCAACCTTGCGATTCATAGTGATCTTGCAGTCAAGTGCATTCACCCACGGCCCCACACCAGGCTGCTTTTAAAGGAATGATTCTTTTGTAGGCCACAGTCTTGTTGTTGTTGTCATTGTTTAGTCCGGTTGCTGTTGAGTCAGTTCTGACGCACAGCGACCCTGCATAGGGTTACCAAGGAGCGGCTGTTGAACCTTGTGGTCCAAACAGACCTTACAGTCCAGTACTTTATCCCACAGTACGACACCAGGATTCCACTGTCTTAACTGCTCCAAGTTTGAGAAGCACTGTGTCTTTTTCAACGGGGAAGCCGCTGTTGATGGAAAGATGTTGGTCTTTTCTTTTCATTTGTTTTAAAATGAAAACATAGGCAAGACTCCCTCCAAGTCAAATTCCCAAAAGTCAGTCAGAGAACATAATAAACATGGTGCCTTACCTTGTGCACACAGGACTTCGCATTCAGGAAAAACAGTTCCACAGTAGTTTTATCCTTTAAAAACGATATGCTTTCAATGTAAAACCTGAAAAACAGTACAGAATTTGGTTTCTTCAGAATTCTTTCTTTCAATGTGTTTCCCAAAAGCGCACGTGTTCCCTCCCTCAAAGCACAGCAAAAATGTGAAGAACTAGGAAATTGTTTTTCTTTTTTAAAAAGAAATCTAGACTACATGTATGTATATACACATATGATCTGATAAACTATGTATTGTGTATATCTACATACAAAGGTAGTTCTTGACTTGATGATGGATTCAAGTTATAACAAACAGCACCTACAACTCTCTGGGGTTTTTTTGGTCCAGCTTCTCAATAGTAATATATGTTACATACAATGTTACATCATGTAATTGGCTGATATTATCATTCTCAGAAGGCGCCCTGGTAGTGCAGTGGGGTGTGAATTGAGCTGCTAACCACAAGGTCAGTAGTTCGAATTTACCAGCTGCTCCTTGGTAGACACATGAGGCTTTCTGCTCCCATAAAGATTTACAGCCTCAGAAATCCTATACAAGGTGACTGTGAGTCAGAGCTGACTCCATGGCACACATCCGCTAAGTACCATGCTCAGATTTCAAAGATCAGAGTTTATAAAGATACTGATACTAAAAGGCAATAATAAAAATAACTAGAAAAAGAGGTATTCAACTTAGGTTAGAATTTTAACGCTTATAGGAAAGTGTTTGATTTTTGGAAGATGAGGTAAAGAGAAACCTCAAATGGTTTTCAACTCCAAGCACACATTTGTCTGTGCTTTTGCTGTGTGACACAAGTTCTAAAAGCTCAAAATTCCTCAGACAGTTTCAAAACAAAGCCCAGGAGGGCCTGAAAGTTACAAGCCAGCATCCGCCGAGTAAGCACTGTATAATTGAACCCTGCGGCCTGTTGTTGCTCAGTAGTTTCCAGACTTACTACCTCTTTCCCCACCTACCAGGAGAGCACCCACATACTCTCCCTTCTTCCCACCCACCCTTTGAGGCACCATGTTTTCCCTGGGCCTTCCAGCCAAGCTCAGACAGAACTACTCTACCTTGGCCCTTTCCTTGCAAATCAGCATACGGATCCTGGGTCTTCGCTGGTATACTCTCTGAGATCAGAGATAGCATCCTACTGGTACTATCTCCTGGTGTGATGCTACAGGATAAGCCTGGACTACAAACCACAAGGTCAGTGGTTCAAACCCACCAGCTGCTCCTCAGAAACCCTAAACAGGGTTGCTATGAGTCAGAATCGACTCATCAGCACTTAACAACAACAATAGCATTTTTGAGAATGTAGTCTGCATTGCCCTGTCTCCTGGGCTCTGACAGATCCGGGGTGGCGGTAAAGAGGGGCAGGAGGAAACTGAGTCTTTAGTGACCTCTATTTTCATAATCCCAGACGAAGCCAGTGAATAAAGGCTATATACACATAATTCCAGAAGATGCCAGTGTATAAAGGCTATATACACATAATCCCAGAAGACACCAGTGTATAAAGGCTATATACACATAATCCCAGAAGACGCCAGTGTATAAAGGCAGATACTACATGGTG